CCTCGCGCTGCTGGATTGAAGACTCGGACTTAATCAACTGAGATCACTCGGTTTCCTTTCTTGTACTCAGAGATATGTATGTTCATCTTGCAGAAGCTATTCACACAAATGTCGAATCCTACCAAATTGCCGAAAGTAGTACTTCCCCAGCGTCAGCCTTGAATCTGGTTTAGACTGATAGTAACATACCACCGTCATGGATCGAATCCGTTCGATGGAGGGGTCAACCTCTTCGCTGTTTTGAGCCACGGGATGTGGAAGTTGGTGGTGGGTTTCACCAGATTGGGTTCGAGCTGCGTTGTTGCGTCGCCTCCCCGTGCCCCGCAATCTATCGCACAGATCTTTGTGCGGAAATCTATCCGCGCACCACGGCGAATCAGCAAGTTAAAAGCGGAACATGGTGGTTCGACTTTGCCTCATGACTAGCCTAATTTCCTACGGCTTTGACTACCAAAGGAGAGCAGGTACAGGCCGGTATGAGACTCTCCCTGGGCCATTGTACGGCTGTGATAATCGTATCCCATTGATAGTAGCAGAAGAATACTCGGAGCGCAGTGCGGACCAAGAATCTGGAATACTATACATACAAAAGCTCGACCAAGTTTCAAAAGTCAACAACTTCTGGATGAATATGTAAGGAGCCTGAAATGAACTGACAATGAACGAATAGTGAATGAATGGGACTCGGATTGATATAACAGAGCAAGTTCGAGGAGAGGATGAGGCCCTCCTACATAGACATGCCACGGGTGGTTGGGCAGACCGCACCCTAACCTTCAACACAGCCACTAATTTCGCTGGATCATTTCATTGGCTGGCGACTTAGTTGTTTCAAGATCACCGAATTTCTGATCTCGGTTGGTTAAATGAACGTTCCTTATTACACAAGTTCTCATAATCCGCATTCTTATTATATTGTAATGTAAGTACGTAGCCTCGCTTAGCGCTACCACCACTCGTAGATAGTCATCCCCACCACGTACCACCACATCCAGTCATCCTATCCCCACCGTAAAATGTTACAAAAAATCCTAGTTCAACTCAGCCTTCAAGTGACAAGTCCGGAGATGCACGGCATGTCACGGCGGACAATCACGTGTCATCCGCGACCCGGGTTTATGTTGTCATCGAACAGCCACCTGAGGTGTCATTTGCTTAAATCCGGCCGCTTCCCCTTTAAGCGAGATTTCGGAGGTTGCCGCTGCCACGCTGCAGCCACGCGTTTTCGAAATTTGGACCGCTTTCTCAATTTCCTGCAAAAGAAAGCTGGCCCTCAATTTGCCCGGGTGTGAACAATGGTTAAACCGTCACCAAATTTAAATAAAGCAAAGAACAACCGGTTAACATTAGGGATGATAAGATGACATATCTAATCATATCTTATCAATGATTTCGGGTCAAAGCACTTGTAGTTACCGGTCAACGACCGACTGCAGCGCCTCCCGCAGCTCACCCATGAACTACTTTCTTAATAACGAACAACTATGGAAGAACATCCCGAAGGCAAGAAGCATTACATCCTGTGTCATTGCCGCTCTCATGATTGCGGGGCGCAAACCTGGGAGAGAAAGGATGGGACAACAGCGCAGGGCAAGTGGTGCCACAAGTCCACGGTAACCACCCACTGCAAGCAGGATGCAGCACTTGTCGCAGATGGTTCATTGCCTCCAGTAAGATTTTTCTCTGCACGAACTCATGGTACTGACTCATTAGCAGGCCCAGAATGAAGTGCCGGAGACGCCGGCGCCGGCAGCCACGGAATATAAGCCGCATAGAGCTCTTGGAGTAGTCCGCGACGATATATTGCAGGAGGAGGGAACAGGTTGAATCCATTTATTTTGTGCTTGAGTGTAAACACTGATTCATTTTTTCAGGACTCGCGGCAGCCCGAAAGAAATGCCGATCCAATATTACGACCCCAACTGGTTCAACAATCGACCTCCCCAGGCTCGGGCCAAAATTGCACCCAAACTCATCGTTGTTTTGGCTCCTGGCTCCAAGGATTTCTTCTCCCGCCGTGGCGACAACACTTTATCTGTCGCGGAATTGACCGAGAAGTATGGTGAAGCTGTCTTCGCCAACTATGATCTTGATTTTGGGAAAGCTGATGCCGAGGCGTCGGCGGAGGGTGTTGATGATGCTGATGATGAAGGCGAGGGGGACGTTGTTGGTAGCGAGGATAGCGACGAAGCAGCGGAGTCGTCCGACGCCGGCAGTGTCGCCTCTTTCCTCAATGACGAGGATGCCTCCGATGCCGAACATGACGATCCAATGTCGGGCGACGACAACAGCTACGACAACGAGGAGCCGGATGGGACCTGGGATGTCCAGGCGCAATTTGCTGCAGCGTATGATGTCAATATGGGTGGGCTTGAGGACGAGATTTTTGGCTCCGGCTCCGACTCGGATACCTCGCGCCACTGATACTTAAACAGTAATTGATTCTTGCATTTATTTATTTTCTTAGGGCTACATAGGGTTTTGTCTCTAGCTTTTATTTGATTATTCTTTTCTTTTGTGGCCACTTTGGGGCAAATTGAGCTGGCGGTCCAATTTTCGAAAACGTGTGGCTGCAGCGTGGCCGCGGCAACCTCCGGCAGCTCGACTAAAGGGGAAGCGGCCGGATTTAAGCAAATGACATGACAGGTGGCTGTTCGATGACAACATAAACCCGGGTCGCGGATGACACGTGATTGTCCGCCGTGTGTGTGCTTGCTTATATGACTAGTATGCCCCCAACACTTCTGAATCAATCAGGACCAATGCAGTCGCAAGCGTGGGGTGGGGGGGCGTCGAGGCATGAGCAAAGACTGCGAGGGGCAGTGTCGGTCCTGGCAACAACCGCTGTCGTATTGACCTGAAGGGTGAAAACGGCGAAGAAGAGGGATACTGCGGAAAGAAGGTTGCGCAGCTGCATTTCAAGTCGGGTTTAAATTGTAATTGGTTGATGGGCGGGAGTCGAGCTGCTCTTATACAAAATATGACAGCGCTAATTTTGGTAACTTGAACAGGAAACGGACCAGATGGAAATGTTTCGCAAGATGAAACCTGATCTGGCGCCGAGTGAACCATTCCATTAAAGGACCGAGCAACAGACGGAGCAACAGTGTTTTTCTCTCGGTTCCAGCATGAGAGTGAGAAGTGTGAGGGGCAACATCAAAGAGCAACAGCACAGTGGGGCCAAGATTAAATTGATCTTGACAATCCCAATTCTTGTCATCGGTCAAAAGATCCTCGCAGTCTGACTACGGTTGGGGAGTCCAGGGAATGCGGGATTTATGTCAGATGCGGTGATCCGCATAGTGATATCGTACAGAGATGCATTTCAAAGCCATGTTTGGGGCTGTGCTTCAACTGTGCTTATCAGAATGCAGATTTGGCGGATCAGGTGAGGTTGACGGCGATTGAGGACGCAGACAGGGAAAGAATGGGGACAATCTCTATAGACCAAAAAAAACCGCACAAATACGATTGAACGCAACCTCGCTGATTTAACACGGCCGAACCCGCACTCTCAAAATGCAGAGATTTGTTGGCCGTGATTATTTATCACAAAAAGCTAACACAGGTGTGACTTGAACTTTTGGGGTTGAATATTGAACGGGAGCCGTGATTAATTACTCGCTACCGTCTGGGTCATCCTCGGACAGGCTCCGAGTCTACCGTGACTGAATGTACCATGTAAACTTCTGGACTGGGAAGAAGAAGAAGAAGAAAAAAGTGCCGATGAAGAGAAAAACCAAATTTGGGCACGTTTGCCTCCGAGGAGTGCGAGATCCTGATAATAATGGCAACAAAATAGCTAGTTACTGGTGTTGTGGGTACGTTTGTAAGCAAAATAATAAAATCCCAAAAAGGAAAGAGGGAAGGGAAAGGGAAAGAAAAGAGAGGAAGACTTGGCACCTTATGCTCCGAATTTCGGGTGGAGATCAGAATGTGTCTATATCAACATATAAGGATACAGGTCAACCCGGTGGGTTCCCAGGTAGGGTCCTCAGGGTATGGGTCCTGGGTTGAGCAGATTGTCAACCTGATTCTGAGGAGGCATACTGTACTATTTCGACCAAGTGTTCACGGGGTGTTACGCGTTACGCCCTAGTGTTCATTGGACCTAGTGTTCAAAGGTTCAAGGCGCCTGTTACGGGATGTTCAAGTGTTCATTAGCCAAAGTGTTCATCGGTGAAATGTCCATGATAGTTCTCAACTGTTCCCAACAAGTATAAGCAGTGTGCCAAGGGCGCGTGCCGCCCTGTGGGCTAGCCAGACGCTCTAACAAATGAAGCTCGTACCTCGCTCGTTAAACCTGCCGGCCGCCTGCAGCCAATAGAAAACCCACTTGGCGTGCTTTGATTATTTACGCAATGTCCGATTCAAGACGCATGTGGTATCATATACGCCGCTAGAATTTTTTTTTTGTCCTACTCGGTCGCTATCTCCTTTCACCATGGACAGCGACACTTTTAAAAAATCGGAATGGATGATTGTGATGTACCCGTCGATGTCGTCGTCGCCCACGTCACCTCTGCCATCGCTGACAACTTTGCTGTAGCGGACGACGGTAGTATAATGCGCGCTGGGAACGCCGAGATGTCTGATGCGGAAGAAGAAGACGCCGTGTTGCCGACCGTATTGGGCTGCGGCCAACGTAAAAAATTCGGTGCCAGGCGCTACAATGGCCCGGTTTGGGAGGGCCACTAACTACTTCGATACATGAGCCTGGGCTACTTATACTTCGCCTTATTTCTTGCGGGGTGTGCTATATATATATATATATTTGGCGCGCGCGAAAATTTGATTTTACGCCGTTTGGCAGCTTAGTTTGGGGGGGTGTTCACTAGGTCGACATTACGGTTACGGGACCCAAAAGTGTTCAGTTCACTAGGCCCCGTTACGCGTTATTTGAACAGTTGGTCGAAATAGTACAGTAATATAAGCAGTCAGTATCTCAAATCTGACTGACCAGAAAGAAAAAAAGAAGAAGAAGAAGAGAGACTCCGATATGCCCTGGGGAGGATTCGAACCCCCGTCTCTCACATTAATCTGCTCTACGGTTTTCCTAATGGGTGTGGGTGATTTCCATTAATCAACCAGGGCTTCATACCTTTTCAAATGGACTTGGACATACCTGCACATTTCTTCAAGGTTACCTGCCCGAATATAAAACTTTTACATCCGCAGACTGCAAGCGAACACAGTTGACAGCAAGAGCGATAATAAATAAATTCACTGGGAATCTATCGATTCAAGTATATGAGCACATAAATATCCCGAATCTAAACCAAACGGAAAAAAATTGACCAACTCATAATTTATGCCCTAGGGAGGATTCGAACCTCCGTCAATCGACACAGCTCTTTTCCATAAGGGCGGTGATGTCCATTAATCAACCAGGTCTTTCATACCCTTCTATGTAAGAACCTGGATATACCTGCATGCTTTTCAAATTGAGCCCCGAAAACGAAAGGTTATAAATCCGGCGGAGACGCATTTATGAGTGCTCTCAATGTCCACCTGCTCAGCAATTTGAGTGTTCGAGAATGATTCACAAATTGAGTAGTCTGAATAGAACTCGGGATCTCGAGCCTACATTTGACAAAAAAGGCTAGAAAGCCACGATATGCCCTGAAAAGGATTCGAACCTCCGTCTCCCACATCAATCGGCTCAGCTCTTGTGCACAAGGGCGGTGGGTGATTTGCCATTAACCAACCAGGGCTTTACACCCTTCCAACGAACTAGGATACACCTGCACATTTTCAAAGCCCGAAAAGAACCTTCAAATGCCCGCCTGTTCAGTGAGGTTCGTTGAAAGCAATAATGAATTCAACTTGTAATTTGTCTCCAAGCGCATGAATACAAATGTGCAGCAGGTTCTGTGAATGTCAATCTTTTCTTTTTAAAACAAAAAGCCTGATCCCACACAATGCCCCAGGGGGGATTCGAACCTCCGTCTCCCACATCATTCTCTTGCAAACAGTTCATGGGTTGGGGGCGATTCACCATTAATCAACCAGAGCTTTATATCCCTTCAGATGAGCCCGAATATACCTGCACATTAATATTTTCCAATTGCTTAATAGAAGGCTGTTCCACCGAATAAACCCAAACTACATCTCGATATACACGTGTTTGACCCCACGAATTATCTCGGCGAGCGTAAATGCAGCAGCAGTGAAGACAATCCCGAATCTAAATCGATCCACCGGCCAAAAAAATAACGAACACCCAGATATGTCAGTGCCTCGGGGAGGATTCGAACCTCCGTCTCCTACACAAATCCGCTCCAACAAAATCTTTAAGAGGTGTGGGTGACTTGCCATTAATCGACCAAGGCTTTACACCATTCCAACGAACCTGTATGCACCGGCACCTATTTTTCAACTGCCAGAAGGCTGTTTCACTGCATGGCTTCCCGAAAATTCCACGGTACTGCTGCCTGTACAGATGAAAGCAGTACTCCGAGTCGAAGCCAAATCAAACAGTGTAAAAAAAATCCCTTTACCTGCGCCCATGCCCTGGGGAGGATTCGAACCTCCGTCTCCCACATCAATCTGCTCGAGAAACGTTTCAAGGGGTGTGGGTGATCTCCATTAATCAACCAGGGCTTTATACCCTTCCAACGAACCAGGATATACCTGCACACTTTTCAAATTGGGCCCCCGAAACGAGAGTCTATAAATCTGGCGGAGGCGCACTTATGAATGCTCTCAATGTCCACCGGCTCAGAAATTTAAGTGTTTGAGAGTGATTCACAAATCGAGGAGTCTGAATAGAACTCGGCATCTCGAGCCTACATCAAACAAAAAAAACGTTAGACAGCCTCGGTATACCCGGAAGAGGGTTCGAACTTCCATCTCCCATCAGTCGCCTCTGCTCTTTTCCATAAGGGCGGTGGGTGATTCCCATTAATCAGCATGGGCTTTACACCCTTCCAAGGAGCCTGGATAGACCTGCACATCCTTTCAAGGGAGCCTGCAACGCATGGTGGAATTGATCTTGAATTTTGCTACAAGATCAACAAAAGGATTTTCAATTCAAGGACTGTCCAAGTGCATATATAATACAGACAGAGATGTGCAGCAAGATCGTGAATACCGATGGGACTTTGTAAAAAAAAAAGTGCAGTTTGCCCATGCCCTGGGGAGGATTCGAACCTCCGTCTCCCACATCAATCGGCTCAACTCTTATGCACAATGGCGGTGGTGATTTGCCATTAATCAACCAGGGCTTGCTACCCATTCAAATGGGCTTAGATACACCTGCACATTTTCAAAGCCCGAAATGAACCTTCAAATGTCCGCCTGCTCAGTAAAGTTCGCGGAAAGCAATAACGAAATTCAACAAGATTGTAATCTGTCTCAAGCGCATGAATACAAATGTGCAGCAGGTTCTGTGAATGTCAATCTTTTCTTTTTTTAAAAAAAAGCCTGATTCCACACAATGCCCCAGGGGGGATTCGAACCTCCGTCTCCCACATCATTCTCTTGCAAACAGTTCATGGATTGGGGGCGATTTACCATTAATCAACCAGGGTTTTATATCCCTTCAGATGAGCCCGGATATACCTGCACATTAATATTTTCCAATTGCTTAATAGAAGGCTGTTCCACCGAATAAACCCAAACTACATCTCGATATACACATGTCTGACCCCACGAATGAATTATCTCAGCGAGCGTAAATGCAGCAGCAGTGAAGACAATCCCGAATCTAAATCAATCCACTGGCAAAAAAGAAAAAAAGAAAAAAGAACACCAAGATATGTCAGTGCCCCGGGGAGGATTCGAACCTCCGTCTCCTACACAAATCTGCTCAAGCAACTGTATAAGGGGTGTGGGGGCGATTTCCATTAATCAACCAGGGCTTCATACCCTTCCAATGAACCTGTATACACCAGCACCTGTTTTCAACTGCCAGAAGGCTGTTTCGCTGCATGAGTTCACGAAAATTCAACGGTACCAGTGCCGGCCTCTTCAGATGAAAGCAGTACTGTATCTCGAACCTACATCAAACAAAATAAAAATCCATTATCCTCTAATATGTATGCCCTGGGGAGGATTCGAACCTCCCACATCAATCCGCTTGGGCTGCTGACGATGTTAAGGGATTTCCATTAATCAACCAGGGCTTTATACCCCTCCAAGGAACCAGGACAGACCTGCACATTCTTCCCCGGAGCCTGCAGGACGTTTGCAAAATTCGGGGAGCGCAAGACTTCTCTGCGGAGCATAAAAATATTTGAACACAGCAAGGGTCTGTTGAAATACATGCAGTTTCTTTGAATCTCAATCATATTTTTAAATAAATAAAAAGGTCGGATGACTACATATGCCCTGAGAAGGATTCGAACCTCCGTCTCCTAGATGAATATTGCTCCCTACCTAAGGGATGTGGGTGATTTACCATTAATCAACCACCCTTCCAATGGACCTGGATAGACTTGTAAAGCTTTTCAAGGGCGCCTGCAGCACACCGGTGGAATTAATCCTGAATTTCGCTACAAGGGTTAGCAAAAGGGTTTCAATTCAAGGACTGTCCAAGTGCATATATAATACAGACAGAGATGTGCAGCAGGCTCGTGAATCCAATGTGTAATAAACGTCCTTGTTCCCACATGCCCTTGGAAGGATTCGAACCTCCGTCGCCTACATCAATCCTTCGTAGCTTCTGGCTTAATGGTTGTAGGTGATTTGCCATTAATCAACCAGGGCTTATACCCCTCCAACGAAACTCGATAGATCTGTACATCCTTCAAGCTTCAAGGCTGCAAGTCGATGGAATCCTGAACTTCCAAATAAAGCCGAGTCCGCTGCCCAGTAGTTTGTCCAAGTGCAGAATAGACAGACAGATAAGCACATACAGCAGTATCTCGAGCGAATCCGATATATCAAACTGTGAAAAAAAAGGTATTTCGCTCTCTCGCATGCCCTGAGGAGGATTCGAACCTCCGTCTCCCACATCAATCGGCTCAGCTGTTGCGAAAAGGGTGGTGGGTGATTTACCATTAGATGAAGCGGGATGTACCTGCAACATTTTTGTCAAAGTTGGGCCACACCGAAAGCGACCAGGTTGCTGCAAAAGTCCGCCTGCATAGCATAGTCAAAGGGTTTCCGAAAGGAAAAAAATGCATCTTCTGCACCCAAAACATGGGCAACAGATATCTTGAATCCGATTCAAACTTTGTAATAAAAGAATCGTTCGACTCGTATATGCCCTGGGGAGGATTCGAACCTCAGTCTCCCACATCAATCCGTCCTAGCCTCTCCGCTCAAGGGGTGTGGGTCATTTGCTATTAATCAACCTGAGCTTTATACCCATCCAAGGAGCCTGGATATACCGACACATTTTGTAAGGGAGCCTGTAACTCACGGTGGAATTAATCCTGAATTTTGCTACAAGGGTCTGCCTGATCAGCAAAAGGTTTTCCAATTCAAGGACTGTCCAAGTGCATCATACAGGCGGAGATGTGCAGAAGGATCGTGAATACCAATGGAACTTTGTAAAAAAAAAAAAAGGATAATACTTGCGCATGCCCTGAGGAGGATTCAACCTCCATCTTCCACATCAATATTTATGAAGAAGTTTTAAAGAGGCGTGGGTGATTTCCTTTAATCGACCAGGGCTTCATACCACTCCAGCCAACCTGGAGGTACCTGAACATTTTTCGCGAACCGACTTGGCCAGTGAATAAAATCCTCACATGTGGAATCCAATTCAAGAATTCAAAGTGAATCTATCCTCCTCTCCGAAAACTTGCAATTTGTTTAGTACCAATTTTTTGGGAAAAAGAAGCAGGACCTCTACCCCATGCCCAGGGGAGGATTCGAACCTCTGACTCCCACATCAATCCGTCCTAGATTTTTCCCATAAGGCATGTGGGTGATATGCCATTAATCAACCAGGGCTTTGTCCCATTCCAAGGGTGCGGGATATATCTGCGCGTTTCTTAACACCACCGGATGAAATGTCTTTCTTTTACGTATGAAAATCACACTGCCCATATTATATTCCAGCGGCTGAACGCAACAACACCGTTACTAGATCACCATGCAATTGAAAAAATCGTTTCTTTTTGGGATATAAAGAAGATACCAAAAAAAAAAGGGGAACACATACTAGATGCCCTGAGGAGGATTCGAACCTCCGTCTCCCACATCAACCTGTACAAGAAGTGTTGAAGAGGCATGGGTGATTTCCATTACAGCTGTTTCCGAAAACCTTGAGACTGATTGGCCACATCAAAATTTGATCCAATGCTAAGCATTAAGGTAGGCGCATTCCGCATCCATCGAGTCACGTGATCTGTCAGCGTGACACGGCTTGTTCGGCCATAGGCTCCGGCCACACCCACAAATAAAATAAAGTTGAACCACAGAAATGCACTATTTGAGCCTAGGAACAATTCTGTGGTGGCAGATTTCTCAAAACTTCCCTCAGAAAATAGCAGTTAACACATTTTTTGAAAAACACTCCAAATGAGATTCAGACCATCCTCGCATAGACATTCATTTTTATTCCATAATTTTCGCGCTTCCTAATAAGGAAATCCCCACGCTCAATAAGGAAATTCCCACCCCTAACTACCATCCAAACAACCCTTCCCTTCAGAGGAGATACATTACCAGTGCTTTATTTGTGGAAAACAGGTATTCTACACTGTTCTGTTGCCCATGATATTGCTTTCTGAAGTGGTAGTATGGTGTGTCAGTTGTGTGCACCCCCCCAAGTACCTTCTCACAACATGTGTAGGTATCAGTGATGCACATGTGAGCAGACAGGCCCTTGCCAATTTTTTTCTGACCTCCCGGATGCTGAGTTCACCATAAATACAACACTTCATTTTTGTCGTTCCAAGATTTCGCGCTTTCCCACGTTACATGTCACCCATCAGTCACGTTCACGTGACTCGATGGATGCGGAATGCGCCTACCTTACCGTTTTTGGACTCGCCAAGCCGAACTGCCGGCACTCAAGTTTTGAAAAGAAATTCATACAGGCACCTAATCACAGTTCTGAATAGGGCGACTTGAAGCTGGCAGACTCACAGACAGACCCTGTGACTTTTACGCCTGTGAGCTGCTCTATTTGGCAGAACGAAAATTATTGAGGGAAAGCCATATCCAAAAATGGCGGTTGATCCGAACCCAAAGAGGAAATCCTTAGCACTTGATTAAATTCCGTGCGAGCAAAAAAAAAATGATCAGTCTCAAGGTTTTCGGAAACAGCTGTAATCAACCAGAGCTTTCGAGCTCTAAAATGGACCCAGATATAGCCGCACCTGTTTACGAGCTGCTGAGAGTGTGAGCCAATGAATAAAGCCCAAACAACATCTCCCCATACTTAAATAAATGTGTTTGACCGCGAGAATAATAATTCAACCAGAGGCTTATACCCTTCCAACAAACCTGGATACCGGCACATTTTTCTAAGCCGCTGAGAGCCTCACCACTGAACCACTGCCATTTACACATGAAAGTTCGCTCACACTACCCAGTAAATATGTTCCAATGTTCGAACACAGCAACAGCCCTGCATCTGAAAAGATAATTTTATTTTTGTAGAGAAAATATCAAAAGGAGAAGAAAAAACACCGGCGGAGGACGCTTCCCGTGCCCTGGGGAGGATTCGAACCTCCGTCTCCCACATCAGCTTGGAAGATCCTTTCTATGGGTTGTGGGTGATTTCCATTAATCGACCTGGGCTTCATACCATTCAAATTGAGCCTGGATATACCAGCACATTTTCCAACCCTTTCCACAGAATGAATTCCTTCAATCCATGGTATGTACAAGTGCCGCCTGAACGCGACAGTAAATCGGCGCGGATCTGTCTACATCGCCAGATACACATAACAGGTGTAAACAGTACTGGTATCTCGAACCTAAACTAAATGAAAAAAAAAGTGCAGGGCAATTGCGAATGCCCTGGGGAGAATTCGAACCTCCGTCTACCACATTAATAATGCTCGAGCAAAGCCACTTCTGATGGTCTGTGGGTGATTTCCATTAATCAACCAGGGCTTTATACCCTTCCAACGAACCTGGATATACCAGCACATTTTCCTACCCGTTCCACAGAATGAACTCCTTCAATCCTCGGTATGTGCCTGAATGCGACAGTGAATCGGCGCGGATCCATTTACATAGCCAGGTGAAAGCAGCACTGGTATCTCGACTCTAAATCCCACTTTCTACTCTTTATAAAATTACGCCTGTCTGAAGCCTTTAAACTCCGCTCGGCCATCGCCGACATATTCTGACTCGTCTCCACGTCCGAGTCAAGCGTTGGCACTCACAGAGCCTTTCGCGGAGCCTCTCTTCATGATTCATCCTTTGTATGACGTGGCCAGACGTGGCTACATCCTTTAAAATAACTGCGATGACCACCCCATGTTCTCGCTCTCCAACGCGTCTCTGTTGCTTAACTTTCAAGAGCGCCATTCAAGTATTGGATGTCTAGAGAGCAAGACGGGCCCAAGCTGCGGTCGCCAACTGCTATCGGCTTTCCTTCAGGCCGCGGCGGTATTTTTCAAGTCGCCCACCTCTTCAAATCCAACTCCGTGGCCATCCAAACTCGAGTTACATTGAACCCTCGAGTCTGGAGTTCAAGTGCTACAGACGATGTCGAGAGAACTCGATTGAAGGTTTTACGGTCAACTCAAATTCAACCATACGCGCGGCTCCGTTTTATTTCTCGCGTATCCTGGATTTTTAGAGAGCAAAATCTCAAGCTGCGGTCGCCAACTGTTGTCCGCCTGCCTTCAAGCCCCGACAAGTCGCCTGTCTCTTCAAATCCAACTCCGTGATTGACATCCAAACTCGGGCTATGCTGAACCCTCAAGTCTCAAGTTCAAGTGCTACAAAT